AATAATAATAATAATAATAATAATAATAATAATAATAAAGTTGGAAGGGACCTTGGAGGTCATCGAGTCCAACCCCCTGCTCAGACAGGAACCCTGTCAAATAAGATTTCAGACAAATGTTGTTATTGTTATTCAAAGGTATTCCTTCCAAAGTTTTATGGTGCTGTTGTTAATAATAATAATAATAATAATAATAATAATAATAATAATAATAATAATAATAATAATAATAATAATAATAAAGTTGGAAGGGACCTTGGAGGTCATCGAGTCCAACCCCCTGCTCAGACAGGAACCCTGTCAAATAACATTTCAGACAAATGCTGTTATTGTTATTCAAAGGTATTCCTTCCAAAGTTTTATGGTGCTGTTGTTGTTATTGTTAGTCAAAGGTATTCCTTCCAAACTTTTATTGCGTTGTTGTTGTTATTATTATTCAAGGGGCTTGTATTACAGTCCCCACGGTATAAAAAAGATGCTGAGACTCTGGAAAGAGTGCAGAGAAGAGCAACGAAGATGATCAGGGGGCTGGAGGCTAAAACATACAAAGAACGGTTGCAGGATTTGGGGATGTCTAGTTTAATGAAGAGAAGGAGTGGGGGAGACATGATAGCCGTGTTCCAATATCTCAGGGGCTGCCCCAAAAGAAGAGGGAGTCAAGCTATTCTCCAAAGCACCTGAATTTGCAGGACAAGAAGCAACGGATGGAAACCAATCAAGGAGAGAAGCAACCTAGAACTAAGGAGAAACTTCCTGACAGTGAAAACAATTAACCAGTGGAACAACCTGCCTCCAGAAGTGGTGAATGCACCAATACTGGATGTTTTTAAGAAGAGATTGGACAGCCATTTGTCTGAAATGGTATAGGGTTTCCTGCCTGAGCAGGGGGTTGGACTAGATGACCTCCAAGGTCCCTTCCAACTCTGTTTATTCTGTTCCTGGACTCTGCTGTGATCATGATGGTTTTGCTGTTCACTTATCAAAACGTGAGCGAAGTTAGCTTTACATCGGGGGGGGGGGGGAAATGTCCATTCACAAACAGTGAGACCACCAGGAGATTAATGTTTTAATAGCAATAAACTTTTGTAACTTTTTAATCTCCTGGTGGTCTCACTGCTTGTGACCCTTTGAACATATATATATATTTGTTTTCTAAATATATATATATATATATATATATATATTTAGCCATAGAAATATATTGGAGTTCCAACCTTAATTTGTTACACACGCACACACACACACCCCAGCCAAACAGACACCTATCCAGCACCAAGAGGGGGTGGGAAAGGGCTGCCCGTTGGAGTACTTACATTTTTCAGCTTTCTGCCACCGTCAGGATTCCTACGAAAGAAAGGAGGAAAAACATTTCAGAAAGCAGAAATTCCTTCCACGGTTTGTATAATGAGAGCAGGTCACATGTTCCCCCCCCCCCCCGGCAGGATGTGTCTGCTGGCTAGGCTGCACGTGACAAAAGCGACTGGAGCAATTTATTGATTTGACAGTGTGGCAGCACAATTTTCAAGAGCCACTTCCATCCGCCCGGCCGATATTTTGAGTTCCCGAAGAATTAAAATTTAAAAAAAAAACTTTCCTCCACCAAAATAAACGGAGGCAAGCCTCGCAGGCCAAAGAGAGAATAAACAGGACGGGTCCTTGGTGCCCTCTGACCTAGCTGGCTTTCTTGCAGACATTTCGTGACCCAGCTAGGTAACATCATCAGTGCTGGAAGGGAGGGGGGTTGGAGGGGGAGGAGGACTGTGGGGTCCTTGGTGCTCTCTGAGCTGGGTGGCTTTCTTGCAGACATTTCGTGACCCAACTAGGTAACATCATCAGTGCTAGAAGGGAGGAGGAGGAGGACTACTGTGGGGTCCTTGGTGCCTTCTGAGCTGGGTGGCTTTCTTGCAGACATTTCGTGACCCAACTAGGTAACATCATCAGTGCTGGAAGGGAGTGAGGCGTGCTCTTTAGCACGGATGATGTTGTCTAGTTGTGTAATAAAACGTCTGCAAGAAAGAACCAAGCCCAGAGAGCACCAAGGACCCCAAAGAACCCCATCGTCCCTTTTCCTCCTCCTCCTCCTCTCCACACACTTCTAACACTGATGATGTAACCTACTTGGGTAATAAAATGTCTGCAAGAAAACAAACAAGGTCAAAGAGCACCAAGGACCCCACAGTCGTCGTCCCTCTCCTCCTCTACACAAATCTCACTCCCTTCCAGCACTGATGATGTTACCTAGTTTGGTAGTGAAACGTCTGCAAAGAAACCACCCAGCTCAGAGAGCACCAAGGACCCCACAGTCATTGTCCTCGTCCTCCTCCTCTCCGTAAATCCCACTCCCTTCTAGCACTGGTGATGTTACCTAGTTTGGTAGTGAAATGTCTGCAAGGAAACCACCAAGTTCAGAGAGCACCAAGGACCCCACAGTCCTCCTCCTCTTCCTCCTCTCACAAATTCCACTCCCTACTAACAATGATTATGTTACTAAGTTGGGTGATAAAATGTCTGCAAGAAAACAAGCAAGCTCAGAGAGCACCAAGGACCCCAGAATCCTCCTCCTCCTCCTCCTCCTCCTCCTCCTCCTCCTCTCCCATTCCCTTCTAACACTGATGATGTTACCTAGCTGGGTAACAATATGTCTCCAAGAAAACCACCAAGCTCAGAGAGCACCAAGGACCCCCTCATTTCAACCCTGAGTTACGAATATTCTCCTTTATCAGAAAATAAACAAGACATTCTTCCAACTGGAAGAGCTTGCTAGAGTTGGAGGCAAATTTATGCCGCTCCGGCCACCATTCAGTTGTTTTAGGGAGGTACGATGGATAGTAAACGTGGATCTTTTGCGAGGCCTTGTAAGCCACCGCAGCAAAGACTGGGCGGGCTGTGTCCACATTCACGGACCCTTCACCGTCCACGGGGAAGTCTCCGTCATATAGCAGAATCAGAAACTTGTCTCAAGCAGAAGTGATGGGAGACCAAAGTCACCCGGGAGCGTATTTTTGCCACAATCTCCCTCTTAAAATGCACAGACAGGAAGCTCCGGGTTCCACGCAACTCGGCACACAACTGAATCCAGAATCTAGAATTCTGTGTGTATCTGTGTGTGTCTTTTTGAGCCGAACGTCAGGGCTGTCAGCCCTGAACAGAAGGCTGCCGTTCGTCGACAGCTTATCATCCAGGAGACAGCTGGGATAGGATTTTTGTGGGAAATTATAGCCAGTGAGGAAGAATCTGGGATTAGGAAGGATCCTTCTCTTGCTTTGATTTTAGCTTACCCTTGACTCATCAGGAGCCTGTGAGCTAAGTTTAGTTGGATAAAGAGCATGGCCTTCTGGATAGCCTTTAGATTAAGTGACCACTCTTCTCGCCAACGTTGCTAAGTGAATCAATGCAATTGTTAAGTTAGTAACCCGGTTGTTAAGTGAATCTGGTTTCCCCCCCCCCATGGACTTTGCTTGTCAGAAGGTCACAAAAGGGGATCACATGACCCCTGGACACTGCAACCGTCATAAATACGAGTCAGTTGCCAAGCGTCTGAATTTGGATCGTGGGACCGCGGAGATGCTGCAACGGTCGTCGGTCTGAACCATCGGCCCTACGTCCCTTTTTTTCAGCGCCGTCGTAACTTTGAACGGTCACAACAGGGACTGTTGTAAGTCGAGGACTACCTGTAATGGGCCGAACGGCTCAACATTTCTTTCTGCACATCCTTATATTCCAGGCACGTTACCCTCTTGGGATTCCAGAAACATCCGTGAGTTTTCCACTTACTTGATTGTCGTTCGGCTTGCGCAAGTCTCCTGCAAGTCTCCCGGGTCAAATAGCTGAGATTCCTTCAGTCCCACTTCCCTGCAACCTCTTAAGAAGAAGGCAATGTTGTCCTGAAAGGAAAAATAAAATATGACACTTGCATTGTTGCCCAAAACGTCCTTTTTTGCAAAAGGCGACTGGACTTTTTTTCCCCTTGAAGACGTTGCGCTTCTCCTCCGAGAAGCTGCTTCAGTTCTGACTGAATGGTGGAGGACGGAAGGATTTGTATTCTTTGCAGTCATCTGGACGTTAGTGCTCTTTCTGAGAGTCGTTGAGGCCTCTAGGAGGCTTATCTGTGCCCTCAAATCACCTGAGTAGTGCAAATGGGTGTGGAGCCTTCTTGGAACTGCTGAAAGGACTGTGTTGTATACTGGAGATAGATGGTGCCGTATCCCTCCCCCTCTGTTGAGGGAGGGCTTTCAATTTTGACATAAATGGCCTCTTGGTTCCCTTTTTCAGCAGTTCCAAAAAGGTTCAAAGAAAAACAAGAAAGTCCCGTTGCCTCATGAAAAAGCACCTTCTCTCCTGGATTAGTTTCCATCCGTGGCTTCTTCTCCTGCCTTCAGGCGCTTTGGAGAATAGCTTGACTCCCTCTTCTCTGAGGCAGCCCCTGAGATATTGGAAGACTGCTATCCTGTCCCCCCTGGTCCTTCTCTTCATTAGACCTGATACATTAAACTAGAAATTAGGAAAGATTTCACCAACCAAACGAGGGACTACAGACATATGAGAGAAGAATCCTCCAAGTTATCGCTTCAAGTATTTACATCTTAAAAGGGCCAGTTAGCAAAAAATTGTGTGTCTGCATGTATGTATCTTCTGATCATTTGGTCCACTTAAGACTAACCCCAGATTAATGGCAAGCCAACGATTTTTACCTGAATATATTCCTTCTGCAACCATGGTCTCCATTTTTTAATGGAAGCAGTTAAAGGTCCAAGAATTGAAACCTAATAATAATAATAATAATAATAATAATAATAATAATAATAACAACAACAACAACAACAACAACAACAACAGCCTATGCAAAGAAGCTGAAGAAACAGTGGACCACCTGGTAAGCTGCTGCAAGAAGATTGCACGGACTGACTACAAGCAGCGGCATGACAAAGTAGCAACAATGGTGCATTGGAAGATCTGCAAGAAATATCATTTGCCTGTAAGCAAGAACTGGTGGGATCATAAAATAGAGAAAGTCTTAGGAAATGATAAAGTTAAACTGCTCTGGGACTTCAGAATTCAAACAGACACGCACCTGCAACATAACACCCCAGACTTAACAATTGTCAATAAGAAAGACAAAAAAGTCTGGATAGTGGACGTGGCAGTGCCTGGAGACAGCAGAATAGACGAGAAAGAACTGGAGAAGATAACAAAATACAAAGACCTACAAATAGAAATAGAAAGACTGTGGCAAAGGCAAGCAAGGGTGGTACCAATAGTAATAGGCGCCTTGGGTGCAATTCCAAAACAGCTGGAGCACCACTTGAACACCATCATCGGCATTGACAAATTCGCCATTAGTCAATTGCAAAAGGCGGCCTTACTAGGAACTGCTTCCATCCTGCGACGAGATCTGTAATACTGTCAAACATCCACATCTGTCTATCCAAGGTCCTTGGAAAGGACTCGATAGGTAGACAAAAATGCCAAATCCAGTCTGAACATCTGGCTGACTGTGCGATGATCAATAATAATAATAATAATGATGATGATGATGATGATGATGATGATGATGATAATGATGATAATAATAATGTGCTTTCCACTGTATTTCAGCATTGCAGGATTTCGTGTCCATCAGCCCATATTATTAAAAATAAAATAAAATAAAACCCAGTAAAGCATTAGTTCCACTGAAATCAAAGGCAAGGAACCATCTGCATAATCAGCAATGGAATTTTAAAGAAGAACACATGTACACATTTTTACAGCTTTTACAGCAGTCATTCTTTGTTGGCCAGTCCTTTTCTGTGTCAAGGGAAAAAAGGGAGAGAGGGACATGTTAGGAAATTAAGGAGAAACATCTTAACATTGAGGACAATTAACCAGTGGAACAGCTTGCCTTTAGAATGGAATGGAATAGAATAGAATAGAATAGAATAGAATAGAATAGAATAGAATAGAATAGAATAGAATAGAATAGAATATAGAACAGAATAGAACAGAACAGAATAGAACAGAATAGGAGAAATTGATTGAAGAATAGAATAGAATAGAATAGAATAGAATAGAATAGAATAGAATAGAATAGAGTAGAGTAGAGTAGAGTAGAGTAGAGTAGAGTAGAGTAGAATAGAATAGAATAGAGTAGAATAGAATAGAATTAAGGAATAGAATAGAATAGAATAGAATAGAATAGAATAGAATAGAATAGAATAGAATAGAATAGAATCTGGAAGGGACCTTGGAGGTCTTCTAGTCCAGCTCCCCGTTTAAGCAGGAGAGCCTACACCATTTCAGAGAAGTGACTGTCTAGTCTCTTCTTAAAAACCTCCAGTGATGGAGCACCTACGATTTTTGAAGGCAACTTCTGTTCCACTGGTTAATTGTCCACACTGTTAGGAAGTTCCTCCTTAATTCCAGGTTGCTTCTCTCTTTGACTAGTTTCCAAAAATAACAGAGTTGGAAGAGATCTTGGAGGTCTTCTGGTGCTCAAGCAGA